CCTGGCCCCCGCCTCGCTCGGGAGGGTGGGGGAGAAGCGGGCGCCGGACTCGGGTGGGCCCACGCCCGCGCCTCCCAGCCTCCCGACCCCGGGGTCGCCCCTCCCTCCGTGTCTCCTCCCACTCCCGCCGGTCTGTCTGTCTGTCCGTCCATTGGTCCCGGCCCCCCACGTGCTCCCGGGGCTGCTCTCCCTCCACGGGCCCAGCGGGCAGGGCGCGCGCCGTCCCGCCCGGGGCAGACGGGGCGGAGGTCGCCGCACGGCCCGAGAGGGAGAGGGGACGGCGAGTGCGGGGCGCCCCACCCAGGCCGGGGCCCTGTCCCTGCTCGCTTCCGGCCCGTGGCGCTGCGGGCCCTGGGGCGACCTGTGCGCCAGCCCGGCGTCCTCGGGTCGCCCTCGTAAGCGTTTCCGCGTTCTTCCTTCACCCCAGCCCGGAGTTCCTGGTCGTTCGCCGGCGCCCCCGGGGCCCAGCGACGGTGGATGGCAGAAGCCCAGAGCGGGACTGGCCAGCTGCAGGAGCAGAAGAAAGGTAGGGCGCCCGGACTCCTGACCCCGACTTCCACCAGGTCAGCTGCTGCTGGTTTGGGCCCTCGGCTCCGGGGCCGGCCTGCAGGAGCCTGGGTGCCCCGGGGCCCTGGGCTGTGCGCGGGCACGGGCGCCGCACAGACGCGCGCTCCGTGCCCGCCCCTCGCAGGGCTCCTGATAGCCGTGAGCGCCTCCGTGGATAAGATCATCTCGCACTTTGGGGCCGCCCGGAACTTGGTTCAGAAGGTGAGGGTGCCGCTGGGGAGGCCCTGGGGCCGCACGAACGGTGGGCGGGGAGGCGGCCGCAGGCGCCTGGGACATGTCCGTTGTGTCGCCCCCAGGCCCAGTTGGGGGATAGCCGGCTGAGCCCAGATGTGGGGCACCTGGTGCTGACCACCCTCTGTCCGGCCCTGCACGCCCTGGTGGCCGACGGGCTGAAGCCCTTCCGGAAGGATCTCATCACTGGGCAGCGCAGGACCAGCCCCTGGAGCGTGGTGGAGGCGTCGGTGAAGCCAGGTGCGGCGCGGGCGGGGCGCGGGCGGGGCGCGGGCGGGGGCGCCGGGCGGTCCTGGGCCGGGCTCAGAGCGCGGTGTCCGCAGGCGCCAGCAGCCGCGCGCTGGGGACCCTGTACAGCCAGGTCAGCCGCCTGGCCCCGCTGAGCAGCAGCCGCAGCCGCTTTCACGCCTTCATCCTGGGCCTCCTCAAGTGAGTGGCCGCTCCCCTGGCGCCCCTCCCACGGCCTGGGGCCCGCACGGGTGTCACGGGCGGGAGGAGCCCGGTGCTGGTGGCCTTGTCCCTCCTGGAAGCTCGTCCCCCATCCTGCGGCCTCCCGAGCCCCCGCTGTCCTCTCTCCCCTAGCACGAAGCAGTTGGAGCTGTGGTTTTCCAGCCTCCAGGAGGATGCAGGTCAGACGCCGGAGGGCACGGTGGGCTGCCAGCCTGGGAGGGAGGGAGGGGGCGCGCTGTCTCCGCTGCTGGTCCCAGCGAAGCCAGAGTGACCTCGATCCCCGGGTCCACTTGTATTACTCTGTGCCGCACACATTTAGTGCGTCGCATTGCCGCACAGCAGGAAAGCCCCAGATCCTCCCCCAAACCTCCAGAGTCCGCTTATCCTCCTCTTCCTTCTTCCCCTGCCTCCCCGGCTCTCCCGCCCCAGGGCCTCCTGCCTCCTTCTGCCGCCTTCCCCTTGCCCCCTCAGGAACGCTTCTCATCCTTGGGGCCTCGTTGGGTGAGGCTCCGGGCGAGCGCACCCCCACACCGTGTTGCTGCAGGGCCCCCCGACTTCCTGTCATTCAGTGCTTCGTCCCCCCAGCTGCCAGCAGAGCCAGAGGCGGGGCGGGGCGGGGGCGGGGGCGGGGGGCGCTGACGGCAGCCTGCTCGTCCCCAGGCCTGCTGTCCCTCCTGTACCTGCCCACGGGATTCCTGTCCTTGGCTCGGGGTGGCTGCCCGGCCCTGTCCGCGGAGCTGTTGCTCCTGCTGCAGCCGCTGTCGGTGCTCACCTTCCACCTGGACCTGCTCTTTGAGCACCACCACCACCTGCCCCTGGGACCACCCCCCGCCGCTTCGGCCCCGGGCTCGCCCCCCGCCCTGCGGCAGACGGTGCACGCCGTGCTGCACTGGGGGGGGCGGCTGGCCCAGAGCCTTCGGGGGGCTTCCGGGGAGACCCCTCCGGGCCCTTCGGCTCCCGCCGGCGCCCCCACGCCAGGCAGCTGGTGGGAGCAGCTGACCCAGGCCTCCCGGGTCTACGCCTCCGGGGGCGCCGAGGGCTTCCCTCTTCCCCGGTGGAGGTCGTGGGGTCCTCGGACGGCGGCTGGAGGCCCACGGGAGAGGCCCGTGCCCGCAGAGGACGCCGCCCCGGGCCGAGGCGTGTGGCTGGGGAGGCTGTTTGGAGTGCCCGGGGGCCTCACAGAAACTGACGGAGGAACCGGGAGGTCCAGGTACTGGGGTAGCCGGTCCCCTCCTCAGCGCCCCAGTCACCCCCGCTTGGCCTTGCAGGGATCGCTTGGGCCTGAGGTCCGCGGCCTTGGTTGTTCTTTTGCTGCGGGAGCGAGCGTGACTCGCCCCGTTCAGCCTCTTGGTCCTCAAAGCCAGAAATATCTCCTATCCGGCCCTTGACAAAAAGAAAAACGGTGCTGATTCCTGTCCCTGGGTGTGACCTTCCATACGCCCCTCTTGGTGTTCGGTGTCGCCACCTCCCTAATCACCCTGAAGGGCCCTCAGCAGTGACCCACTCCTGACCTCTTTGGAATCAGGCCTTTCAGCCTCTTCCTGCCTCCAAAGTCCTGGGTCCTTGGGTCCTTCCCTGGAGGTCGGGTGACCTCTGTGACCCCGTGTTCTCTCCAGGAGACCGTCCAGCTGGCTGCCCCCGACAGTGAGTGTGTTGGCTCTGGTGAAGCGGGGGGCACCTACCGAGCCTCTCTCGCCTCCTGAGGAGCTTGAGGCCTCCGGCGCCGGCCTGGTGCAGACCCACAGGTGGGGGCTGCATTTCGAGTTTACAGGGGGCAGGGGTGGGTAGCGGCGTGGAAGGCTGGGAGCTGTGAGGTCAGATAGCGCTCGTCCTGTTGTTGGCGTGAAGCTCTGGTCTCTGGGCCTGTGTTGTTCCCTGTACGAGGCGGTGACCCCGCTCCGTTAGGGCCCTGAGGGAGCGGGAAGCCTCGGGCCGAGTGTCCGCGGGTGTCCCCCGGAGCGGCCTGCTCAGGTTTGACACCAGGGGCCGCTTCTGCTTTGGAGTCTGGCTTCAGTTGGCTGGTCTCAGTCCACTGAATTAGGTTTCCTGACTTTTCCTTCCTTTGACGGTGTTTTTCAAGTACTATGTGCCCAGTAGGATACTGCGGGAGGGAACAGGAGGGCAAAGGCCCGGGGCCCGTGCCCTCCTGGAGCTTGTGGCCCAGAGAAGGTTCCAGCGAGCAGATGCGCAGTAGTGTGTGGTGGTTACTCTGGGCAGGGAGGCCAGGTCTGGGGGCTCAGGGAAGGCCTGGTGATGGGGCGGGTGGGGCATCGAGGCCCGGGTGTGGCAGGTGAGGAACTGTGCCCCGCTCGGGTCTGGGGTGAGGATGTCGGTGGTGGTGATGGATTGCTGGAGGCCTCAGCAGGTCGGTTAAGGCACCGGACTTCAGGGTGGAGGCCCTGGGAGCCCGCGAAGGGTCTTCTGCCCGGGGATGAAATGCTGGCCTGTGTTTTAGAAGGATCTCTGATCTCAGGGTGGAGAAGGGGCCTGGGGCAGGCAGGCCAGGAGGGATGGGGCGGGGAGAGGGGACCAGACCCCGTGGTGTGGTCCAGAGAGTGAGGATTCCGCCCTAGGAGGGCGGCAGCAGTGGACGTGAAGAGGAGAGTGGACGGAGTGGTGGGGATGCGGGGGGCAAACGAGTTTTGGGGGCGATGCAGCGTCTGCCAGCGGCCCCTGGGGGGAAGGTGGTGCGTTTGCCCCCGAGGAGGCCCAGAGGAGGCCTGGCTGGGAGGGTTCAGATAAGTCGCTTAGTTTGCATGGGTCGGATTTGAACGGCCCAGAGGACGTGGGTGGGGTCAGATAAGCGGCGACCGCCAGCTTTGGAGCTCTGCAGGGCCCCAGTAGAACCCACGCGTTGATGGATAGTCCCCGCGCCTCTGCCGGAGCCCGGTCAGCACTGGCCCCACGCGGTGGGGAAGGCGCGCCGGGGACGGCTGGGTGCCCACCTCGCTCATCCCAGCCCATCCCCTGGCTCCCTGCAGGGCCGTCCGCGCGCTCTGCGACCACACCGCGGCGGGACCCGACCAGCTCAGCTTCAGGCGCGGGGAGGTGCTGCGAGTGGTCGCCACCGTGGACGAGGACTGGCTCCGCTGTGGGCGGGATGGCGCGGAGGGGCTGGTGCCCGTGGGCTACACCTCTCTGGTCCTCTAGGCCGAGCCCCTGTCCCGTCCGTTCTCCCTCCTGCGCCCTGGGAATGGAACGGCCCCAGGGCCACGGACCTGTGCACACCGATGGCCGCAGAAGTGTCTGCCCCGCCGCGAAATGACTCTTCCCCTTCCCCACGGCCATGTCTGCGAATGGGAAACCAACTTTCCTTTTTCCCTCTCGTGCCATCTGTAAGGTGAAATCTGCTCTTCTTCGAAATGTGAAAAGGAATCTCCCTCCATCTCTCTCCTCTCCCCCCCCGCACAAGGAAACGTCTCCCTTCCCATCTGCACAGTGGAAACCGCTCCCCTTTGCCTCTTTCCTCTGTGAGTGGACTGGGCCAGTGCGCCTCGGATCCTGAGACTGCAAGGGCCTCGAGTGTCCTTCCTGCGTATGGACCCCCCGACCCACGCTCCACCCACGTTGCCTGTATTTATTACGTACTCAAGCTGTGCTGGGTGCTCAAATCCGGACCCCCCTGGTGGGTGGGTCTGTGGTGTTGGTCTGCCCGCCCCTTCCTTTGTCCCAATAAAGCGTGGGAGCAGAATGTGTGTGTGTCACTGCGTGTCAGGACAGAGGCTGCGGGGAGGGGAGCGGCCCCCTTCCTTCCCCTGCGTTCTTGCCGCTCCCTGGTGGCCGCATCTCAGGAGCACCTCCCTGTTGAGGCGGGGTTGCCTTGTTTGGCAAGATGGATAGGGTACGAGCCCGAGGAAATGGGGGGACGTGGGGAGGCCCCGGCCTTGCATCTGTGCTCCGAGGTGCTGGGAGGGATGAAGGGGTTACAGAAGTGACACTTTAATGTCACCACTCTGCAGTGACGCAGTTTCAGAAAGCACACTGACGTGGCCTCTGGCACTTGGTTCAGAGCTGATGAGGCTCAGTGGCGGAGCTCCGAGGACAGGCTGGGCAGTGACGGCCTGCAGGGGAGCCCCCAGGAGGTGAGAAGACAGGAGAGTCAGGGGGAACAGAACCGGAGCTGAACACGGGAAAGGACCCTGGAACTTTTCCTCCACCTTCGGGCACTTGGCTCAAGGTGACAACAGGCTGGCCACAGGAGAGGGGAGGGGAGCCGTGCTCAGCAGCAGCCTTGCACACTTCTGCCATTTCCTGACTTAATGCTCCCCATTCTCGGCCAGTTCTTGTTACTCCTCCACTCCTTCGTTAGTTTTGCTATTTGTTTGCCGTCTCGCTGTTAGACTGGATATCTCGGGTCCGCTCGGGGATGACATTTCTCACGCCGGACTCAGAGCCTCCGGGAACCACTGGCTACAGCCGTAGGAGTCTGAGCGCTCAAGATGATGCAGCTTCTCCAGTTGCTTTTTATTTTTATCATGAAATTATAAAACAGTAAACATGTGGAAGACCACTGTGACTTTGACTTTGGGGCCAGTGTTTCTCACAGTGAGATATGCACAGTGACCCATGATTCCTGTGTGCCGTCACAGCATCTGGTTCCCGGGACCCTGCCTGCCCTGTCCTGCCTCCTGTCCCCACGCGCTGGTTTTCACAGGGGTTCACCCTAACAACTGGGAGAGTTGTTACGGGTGGAGACAATGTTGGTGGAGCGTCGCTGGGATCTGGTGATATTTGTAGTCACAGCCTAAAGGGTCCTCAGGCTTGCGGAGGTGGTAAGACTAACAGACCTTGCAGAGCATCATGAAATAGACCAAATGTGAATAAGAAATTTATTATTCTTACATATTACCTAGAACAGCTGTAGTGGATACCAATACTTAAAACATAATTAAGGTTAAAAGACTTTAAGAAAAAAAAAAAAACTGCCAATCAGTCAGTTAAGCGTCTGCCTTCGGCTCAGGTCACGATCCCGGGGTCCTGGGGTCGAGCCCCGCATCGGGCTCCCTGCTCGGCGGGAAGCCTGCTTCTCCCTCTGCCTCTGCCTGCCGCTCCCCTTGCTTGTGCTCTCTCTCTCTCTGACAAATGGATGAATGGAATCTTAAAAAAAAAAAAAACTGCCAATGTGCTACTTTTGCACCCATGACAAGACTCGCCTAACAACAGGAGAGCCTCATGTCCTCGCAGGAGCCGACAGACATCCAGCTCTTGCAGCCAATTCTTTTTTTTTTTTAAGATTTTATTTGTCAGAGAGAGAGAGAGAGAGAGAGAGCACAAGTAGGGAGGAGGGGCAGAGGCAGGCAGAAGCAGGTCCCCGCTGAGCAGGGAGCCCGACGCGGGACTCGATCCCAGGACCCTGGGATCATGACCTGAGCCGAAGGCAGACGCTTAACCAACTGAGCCACCCAGGCGTCCCAGCCGTTTTTTAAAAAATTGATTAAAAATCCAAATTCCAGCATGGGTAACATATAGTGCTGTATTAGTTTCTGATGTATAGTGGTTCAATAATTCTATACATTACTCTGCTCCTCCTGGTAAATGGAATCTCACCTGTTCCCCCCATCCCCCCCACCTCCCCTCTAGAGTCTGTTTTGGGGTTTGTCTCTTTTTTTTTTTTTTTT